ACTGTTGAAATTAATATTTTTTTTTATTATGGCAAAATAGTACAACCATTTGAAATTTTCAAATGCGTAAAAGTTGATTTTTTCTTATGGAAAGGGTAGTCGCTCACCGAATCAACTAAACGACTAAGAGATTGATATACTACCTACACAATAGTCTTGTCATAGGATTGTTCGAATACTTTACTTGTCACAAAAACACTATCCCATTGTATTCAACACAATTTCCTTGTCACAAGGTACTTAATTTTCCAATTTTCTTGTCCCAAGAAATTTATTCGATTCCATTGAAGACCAAAGTTGAAGATCTCAATTTTTTCACTAGAGCTCATCACGACTTAATTGAAGATGAGAATTTTTTGTTTGATGATAGGATTATTGGTCATGAGGAAACATCAGATTTTGTTTATCTTTGAAAATATTTATTACCCTAAGAATTCAAACAATTTTTACAAAATATTGGCCCACTAACTAAAAAATCATTATGTCATTACAATTTTTAAATTATTAAAACTGCTAAATTGGAAACATAATTTAGGTATACTACTTGTAAAACTTACATTATATACCTTCAAACTTTTTCAACAAGTGGGAGTAGTATGGGACAGCCCGTTTGCCTCCAAAAATTCTTGTATTGGGACCACCACGACTATTTTCTAAAAAGGATTGCAAGATAATTTTGATCCCCGGACGCACTGATATCCTGGGTAACACCATAGGAAACAGGATATAAATGTTTGTGATATAAGTTAAAAAAAAAAACTATAAAACCTCCGAATTAAAAACTAAACGCAGGTCAGAGCAGGTCGCAGGCAGGTGCGATACACTAAACTACTAGGCACAACACAACTGGGTTGGAGGGCATCGGCAGAAACTTGAATTTTGAATAAGATTTTGGAATATTCCATCAAAAATCAAGATTCTTGGCCTAAATAACAAGGAGCTTAACAATTATGCAATAAAAGATTCTTCTTGGTATAAGAGAATATAAATATAATTTTGCCAGGAAGAAATGCTATTCAAGAGTAATTTTAAAAAATATCAAGAACCACGAATTTCTCAGAACAAAGTAATTTTTCTTCAAGCAGTAGATTAACTCTTCATATAAGGAAATTTATTTCAAGATCACTGAATACCTTGAGGTAAGGGGAGCTGTTTTTTCACTTCTTTACCAAAAACCTCGTTGGCCTGTTTTATCCTGTATAAAAAATTCATTCTACTTGTACAGGGTGATCCAGATTGAACACTTCTAATAGAAAAACAGTTTTTCAAGCAGAACCCAGAGACATTTTCAGTTTTTTGGTATTTCGCAAGAATTTGAATATTGACCAAAGTCCGATTTTTTGCTACTTTCAATGATATAAAGTTCGAAAGGGTTTATCTATAACAGCTTTCGAGAATAGAATCAAATTCCGTTTTTGTCATAAGAACCTTCGTGTAAAAGAAGGTATCCATAGCAATACTTTTTCTCTGGCAAGACTGTAGTGGGTGATTATCTATATTTTGCGCCCACACCTATCTTACCTGTTTGAAGAAAAACCCAGAAATGTCAAATGTGAAAGTTGTAGGTAATATCGAAAAGTTTTCAATGATGTGTGACAGGGTGTGTCACAAAAGTGTAGTGAAGCAAAGTTCTACTTTTTAAATGGAAAGCCCCGCTCCGCATATTAATGTCATATTGGATTAGCCTTTCGAACGTGATTCCAAATATACTAGGTTTTTTAGGTTTCTTCCTCATAGTCCAGCCTCTGAATATTCCATTTTGAACAAATAATTTGGATTTTTTACAAGAATGATTATACCTTTATAATTTGCTGGTGGTATCTATAGTTCATCTTTTTCAATAAAAATGCAATTATTCTACCCCTTTTTCATAAAACTGTACATTTCATCGAAACAAGTGGTCCTCCTGTATTTTCAAAACTTCGCAGATTATCACCGGAGAAACTTGAAATTGTTGAAAAAGATTTCAATTGACATCTTGATTTAGGAATTATCAGACCATCATCAAGCAACTGGTCTTCTCCATGATATATGGTTCCTAAATCAAACGAAAGTTGAAGACCCTGCGGAGATTTATATAGGGCACTGAATAACATTACTAAGCCTGATAGATAGAGATCCCTCATATTCATGATTCCAGTTTCCAGCTTCAAAAGAAGAATTTTTTTTCAAAATAATATACCAACACAAAGATGTCCGTTTGTTTCTGGAACAACTTAACAAATATGGTATATTCATTAATATTGAAAAATGTCAATTTGCTGTCTCAAAAATGCAAAAAAGAAACACCCACATGCTAGATATGTGCAGGAAATCATAAAGATAATGAATGTGAATCGAATGAAATTTGCGTACGCAGCAGACATATTAAAGATGCCAAACCTGGACTTCAGACATAAAGCATGTGACAAAAACTGTGAGGCATATAAAACAATAGTGCAACAACAAAAAAAAAAATATTGATTATCCAGAAATATACCTATGGAAAAAAACAAATAACAATCAGAAACAACTACATATTTTGTACATAAACATCTAAGGATTAAAAAAACGAAGAACAGATCTGTCATGGGTTTTACATCAAAAAAAGCCTGCAATAGTATGTCTAGCAAAAACTGATGTAACACAAGATTTTAGTGATAATGAAATTGATATCAAAGGATATAATGCAGTGGCCAGCCTGTCTCACAGTGCATATACAGGAGAAACATTGGTATACATCAAGAGTTCAAATTTAAAGCAACACTCAAAATTAAAGACTACAGAAATGTATGGGTAACTGTAGTTGACATAAACATACAAAATCAGAGATATCATATTATATTCTTTGTACCAGTCACCAAAATTCAAGTGACTCTGAGTTTTACTGGAAAGCATGGTATTATTATATGTATATAGTAACGGGTGATTGCAACATACATAGATCTTTCAAAGGAAAATTATTATGCAAAAAAACCTAAAAATATTGGACATGGTATGTATTAACTTGTGAATACAGATATCTGTATAACACGAACTTCTGCAACAAAAAACTGTTATTCATGAAGTGCTTTTACCTCCCAAAATAACTAATCATTCTATTATTCCAGTAGTACGTTCGGTAGAGAATTGTTGTCTATCTGTTTAGCAATACCTTATTTCCAATATTTTGTTGAAGGGCGTGAGTTCCATGTTCTAACTGACATTTTTGCGGTTCACTTCCGCAGTTACTGAGACATCCAGGAATCAGAATTCAGAGCAACTTAATGTCTTATATATTCATGCTTTATTTTTTAAGATTTAAGATATTCAACTTTGGGTACCTATGCAACTGTCAAAGTTGTCAGAAGAATAAAGTTATAAGGCACACAAAGCTAGAGATTGGAACTTTCTGTCGTCGTTCTAATATTTGGATATGATCGATCCGTTGCCTTATTCAAAAGGATAGAATAGGTATTCTTATATTCTCACATGTATTGACCATATTTCTTTCGTTTACCAGAAGCTCTTCCGATTAGCAATATCACTGCTTCTTCTATAGCTTAAACATTCATTGCTGGATGAATCTCAAGATTTGGGGCACCTTCTACTATAACAACTGATCGCGGATCTCAGTGAGTCAGCTTTATAAAAGGAGTTTTTGAAAACACTTGGCTCATGTGAAATTTTAACGAAAAGCATATCATTCCTCGTCAAATGGCATTGTGGAACCTTTGAATGAACAAAGTAAAACTTCATTGAAATGTCATTCAAAAAGTCAGCGGTTTGGTATTCTTCCTTTTGTTTTACTTAATATCCGTACAGGGTTTTTCCGCATATTTTTGCACCCTTCACCTTCACAGAGTTTAGTTTAAATAAATAACATTCCACCAAATGGAAATCATGAAAGGGGCTTTCTGATCCCCCTGTATAGGTATTTGTGAGCATTCTTTTCACAATAAATTGATCGGTAAGAGGTGAAGCTGCGAGCAATATTTAACTTGAAGTAAACATTCATACACACGACTTGAAGTTGGAAAACGACACATTTTCATATCCAATTCGTATGTCGACGTGGAGAAAATTAAGGTCAATATCCATCTTTTCTTCCAAACTCTGTATTTTCAATAATATTGAAAATATCAGAGTGAATAAAAAATGAAAATGTTCGGCTACAATTTGTTGTCGAAAACTGTTCTGAATTTCCAGTGGTTTACTCCAAAGGGTGTCTCAAAAAACTCTGAAAATTACTGACTTTCTTTCCATCCCTATCCTATGTATATGATATAAAGACGAATCATTTAATAACGGTAATACGTCAGATATATTCCTGAAGAATCAAGCTACAATGTGTGAAAAATTCATCGAAATCGAGCGGAGGGTCCAAGAGAAAATTGATGTCAAACTTAGTGTAAATTTTGTCCGTTCCCCTAATTTTGCTGGTGCGTGCAAGTATTGCAAATGTATCTTAGGTATAGATTAATACCTAATATTTCAGGTCACTCACCTTTGGACACCCGGTATACATAATCTTTCCAATGTCAACATTGAATTGATTTATTGTTACGGTTGAAATTTGAAAGTTGCATTCAAAAACTATTTACTCACTTTCTGTTCTTGCATTACCTACTCCAAACTCAACTGATCATTGGAGTGTGTTTCATCAACGTGAAAAAACAAAATAATGACATAAAAATTACATTCGATTTGAAGTATAAAGACCCTCAAGAGACACAATCAAGAAAATCTTACCGAAAAGTTACCTACAAATTTTCCCTGCCACGGCGACAAAAGGAACAATTTTTCGCGCTTAGCGGAAATTTCTTTTCAATCAATTTTTTTTTTAACAAGTTTAGCCTCCAACTTTCTGGTTTTACATAAAAGGAAACTTCGGGCTTTTGTTCCTTCTATGTGCTGTATAAAAGCTAGGAACACGAATTAAAATATCTCGGAGTAAACGCAACCAAAGCTCCCTTGAACTACGCACGTTCCATTGATTGTATTTCGCGCAAGCGGATTTCACATTTCAATGCCAAGCGTGCTGTGAACATGTGGATAATTTTTAACCTAATAAAACAAATAGATGATGTTTTTGAGTGAATAATTGAGAAGAAATAATTGTAATAATTGAATTAAGGTAAATAATAATTATAATGGATGTTGAATTAGGTATTTATAACAGTATTATTTTGCAACGGTTGGGGTTTTCTATTGTTTTGTTATTGAAGTGCACGTGTTGTCCTGTTTGCATGATACAAAAAAAAAGGATAAAGATACTTTGCGGAATGTGATTTTCAAAAGTCACGTGCTTTGTTTCAGTTGGTTTACATCGAAATCGATTTACATTGTGTGATTTTTTTTTGTAAACGAGTCGTCTTCGTCTAATTCAGTTTCGATAAATTGAGATTTGATAAATTTTCAGGGGCCCCGACAAAAGATGAGAAACTTCCAAAAAATCACGTCAATTCGCCTCTACTGCACCAAACCCCAACGACCCGTTGCCAAATCGATCTATTTCTCAAAGTGCACAGACATTTTCACGAATCTGGCTCTAGAAGACTGGCTCTACAAAAACAGAGACTTCACCAATCATCATCTGTTGATGTTATGGAGAAACCAACCGTGCGTTGTAGTTGGTCGTCATCAGAATCCTTGGTTAGAGTGTAACTTCGCTTCATTACCAACCATGGGCGTGGAACTAGCTAGGAGAAATAGTGGGGGTGGAACTGTTTATCATGATATTGATAATTTAAATTTAACATTTTTCACTGGAAGAAGTGAGTATAGTAGACGAAGGAATCTGCAGTTGATTTCCAGTGCATTAAAGCACTCTTTTGACATTAGCTCAGAAATAAATAAACGAGAGGACCTGTGCATCAATGATCATAAAATCTCAGGCACAGCTTCAAAATTGGGCAGACTTACAGCTTATCATCATTGTACTCTTTTAGTGAATTCCAATAAAGACAATTTAAGTTTAGCATTAAAAAACACTTTAGGCAATGTTAAAACAAATGCTACTGTATCAGTGAAGTCAAAAATAATGAATTTAAGTGAAATAAAGCTGGGGATGAGTGTAGACGAAGTCATGGAGGCTATTGTAGAAGAATATGGACAAAATGTACAAGTTATTGAGTCTATTGATGAAGCAAACTATCCAGGTGTAACAGAGATAAGAAATACATTCAAAAGTAATCAATGGAAATATGAAAAAACACCTAAATTTACTATTTATCGTGATTTATTTGACATAGTTGAAGCTTTTCTGGTAATAGAACAAGGCAAAATTGTGAATGGAGGCATAGAAACTAAAGACCTGAGTTTAAACATGGAATCTAATAATTTAAGAGACTTGAGTGGACTTTTCAATGAAATGATGGGGAAAAATTTCACTAAAGAAGTTTTGGACGAATTTGAAATGGTGGTGTGTGAATTAAGGCATAATGAAATATGTAAAAATATTATTGTGAATCGATAACTCATTAAATTCTATGGTCTTCAGATCAATCACAATGTAAAAATTTGTTTGAAATCAATAAACAAATTACTTGTATATACATTATTTTGACCTTTTCCTATTATTACATTATTACTATAGAAACTTGGTCATATAATTCAAGCCCAGACGGCGTACATTAATCAAATTTGAGGGCACTTAAGTGCATATTCAAGGATAGGTAAATTAATTTCGCAAGGTGCATGCATTACATGCATATTAAATATTCTAGGGCTCGTTTTATCCATTTAAATACTATACGGCAACAGCTATATTTTACTTAATCGAATTTATGTTTGGTTTTTTTGGTTATATTATTATGTACGTATCGAATTTCCAAGCAATCTGAAACCGAATAAACATAAATCCAATCACGAAGCTTGTATACTTTTTATACTGGATTTCATGACAACGATTTTCCAGCAAAAGTCCATTCCCTAGGTGTAGCGTATCAGGTTACTACTTTTCTCTGTCTTCGAGCTGATAGAATTTTTCATGTCGTGTCGCTTTTGGGATTTTCATTGTTACTTCAAAAGGTGACAAAGTCTTTTTCGAAGAGATATACTCGATGCAATATAAGGTACGATAAATTGTGCCCGACGTCATTTTCCTTACTAGAAGTTGGAGTGTTGAAACGACGATTGATAAATTCAATAACGTGCTTTTCTCATTTGAGAAATGTTTTTTTCTGGTAGCAGTTTTTGTCTAACTTGCTTTTTAATGAAAAATGTTTGTTTCGATTTAAAGTCTTTGGCTCCTCCGAGGGATCGTCATTAGGATGTTATATTTGAGACAGGATAATGTTTCTATCAAAACTTGTATTAAAAAGATTAGACAAGTAAAAAAGGTCATGAACAAATAATTTATCCTAAAGCTGTCTATATCTCCTTAATTAGGGCTTTAGCAAAATCGTGTTATTTCTGGTCAGGTAGATGGTAATGCCTAGCAAACATCTGGGATGCGTTTGTCCAACCTGTTGTCCTCCTTATCACTTGTAAAGAAGCTCCGTTTTTGAAGGCTGTAGACGTAGCTACATGACTCGTAGAGTATGCACCAAATATTCTGGTATCAATTCCAGCCTCTGAAAGAGTTGCCTCAATCCAGTTGCTGATAGTACTAGTACTTGCTGTGTTAAATGGAGGACGAGTACATAAAAATAGATCTATATATTCAGCGGATCGTGAGATTTATGGTTCCAAACAGGAAGCTAGACAAATCTTGAAAATATGAGATTTGCAAGCAGGTGTTATTAGTTTTGCTGCTGGTAGTTTTTATGTGTTCTGGTTTAAATATCTGTAAACCGATGATTATATTTTCAACTCTTATTTTCGCCAGTGTTTGTAATAATTGATGTCCAGTGATTAAAGCCAGAAGGGTTGCAGTCTTTCGCGATAGGGCTATTAGGGATGAAGATTCATTAGAAACTTTTGCTTCCAGGAAATCTAGAACCATGTTAGCGTCCCAAATAAAATCATATTTTTTTCTAGGTGGCCTTAACTTGAAAATGCCTTTCATAAACCGCCTTATGTTTGGTTTATAACCTATATCAAAGTCCAAAAATAAGTGATAAAGCAGATCTGTATGTGTTAAATGAACCATATTTGAGCTGCTTAGTTTGAAACTGTTCACCTAGGATATTTATCACCTGCTGCTCATCCGCTGTAAAAACGGAGAGCTTGTGAAGTTGGCAGAAATCCCACCAATATTTATAGGCACTTTGATATTGCTTGATAGTAGAGTCTTCAAGGAATCTCATAAGAATAGGTATTGCAGCTTCTGGATTACCCTTCTTCAATAATGCTCTCCTGATAAAAGCCCTGCCTCCAGGGAAATGTTCAGTTGCTTGAAGCACCTGGAAGGAAAAATAATAGGGTTATCCTCAGGATGGAAAATAATTGGATCTTTAATAAGCATCTTTCTCCATAAGGGGTACCACGGTTGTGAGGGCTATCTTGGAACCACTAAAATACCTGTGGCCCTGTCTAGCTATATTTTGTTCAATACTCGAAGTACTAGACAAAAGGGAGGGAAAGCATAAAAGAAAAATTCTCTCCAAGAAATGGTAAAAGCGTCAATAACGACTGAGCCTGGATCTGGAAGATATGGGGCATATATAGGACATTTTCTTGTTTGTTTATTCAAGATGCAAAAAGGTCAATAGATGGTTTGCCAAAAAAAATTAGTGATTATTTTAAACAAAGTATTAGTAAATTGAAATTCTGTTTTAGTGGGTAGTATCCTTGTTTTGAGTTGAAGGGATATAGCTTGCTTTAATCCATAATTCCCGTTGTTCACACCACTGCCATAGATCCTTTGCCAATTTAGCTGAATGTGGGTATTTTACACTACCCATAAGATTGATATAGGCTATGGCAGTGGTGTTGTCTATTCGTAAAAGGATATTTTTTGACTTTTGATTTGCAGAAGTTTTTAGAACTAACTAGTTTTGAAACTTTCTAGTTCCCTTGTATAGAGCCATCCATATTTGACAGCTGGACAAGCTGCAACTAGAGAACCAATTACCTTCGCTAGAAATAGCATAGTACAGAATCTAGACTTCAACAACTCCTCTATAAGGCTTAGGATCTTCATCCTCTTTTCCTCAGGCAATGATAATGTCAGAGCAGTTAAATAAAAAACCCAAATAAACACATTTATTGGGAGGATCTAGACTGCTATTTTCATAATTAACTATAAATCCTAGAAATTCAAGAAATGAAGTTGCAATCTTTATATGTTTCTTACGTTTCATAATCATCTGCTATAATTAAAAAATCATCTAGATATACTACACAATATACACCTAGGCTTCGTAAATAGGTAACCACTGGTTTAGTTAACTTAGTAAACGTGTAAGGAGCAGACGAAAGTCCAAAAGGCAATGCCTTATACTGGAAAAATGTTTCTCCAAATTTAAAACTCAGGTATTTACGATGGTGTTTGTAAGGTCTATGGTGCACATAAAAGATTTGGGCTTTATGAGCCTCAAGGTCACTCTATAGTCTTCCATTTTGAAATGAACCTCTCTGATAAATGTGTTTGAGACTTTAAGATTCCAAATGAATCTAGCTTTTTTGTTTGGTTTCTCAACTAAAAAAAAGGAGAGAGGAAATACTCTTCCCTCTTATCAACTTCCTCGATGACCCGCTGACTTAAAAGGTCCTTGACACATCTAGAAACTAAGCTAGGGTCCGAACGAGAGGAACGAAGGTAAATCCCATGGTTATTAGGTGGATCCTCTAAGAAAGGTAATTTATACCCAGTGATCCACTGTAAAACATAGTCATTCTTAGTGATATCTGACTATCTTGATGCAAAATGTTTTAATCGCCCACCTATAGTATAATTACCTTTATATCTCCGTATTTTTTCGTAATATTTCCTCCTGTTTCCATAGCTCTGAGGTTCCTCTCTCTGCCTCGAATCCATCGCAACTCGTGGCGGGCCCCTCCAGTTTAAAGATATGTTCCCTTCTGAAGTCGAAACTGTCTCTCGAGGCCTACTGCCTGAGGATACAGATGTCCTTGGTTTGGTGGTCGAAGCTTCTGCAGCCTTATTTAAAACAACAAAAGGCTGTTAGAATTTTAAGTCCTTGCTAGACTTTTCTAATTCCATTATCTTGTTATGCATTTTCACTAAAGTCTTTAACTAAGAGATAATCGTCTACTGAATTACCGAACCTCACATCCATGGCACGGAGCTACTGCTGAGCGCCTATAGTGGGTATTAGTTAATATTTGTCCCATATTACCAGCATAGTATAATATTGATAATGGATCCCAAACTGGCTGCTGCAGCTGACATGTAATTTTGCAAACTCCTGGGAGGGTCTGAGTCACTGTTACTGCTACCGCTTCTTGGATGCCTAGGAGCAAAATTAAGTTGGAATAAGACTCAACACCGTCGGATGGTACGATGTGTCCAAGGTAAGCCCTTTTTATTCTGAGAAACTCCGATTTATCCAGCTTTATTTTAAAATTGGAATCTCTTAGTTTTTCAAATACGCTTCTGAGTCGTTCCAGATGTCCTGGGAACAACGTAGAAAAAACAATGATGTCGTCTAGATAAACTAGACATTTTTTATTTTTAATCCTTCGGAGTATGTTATCCATAACTCGTTGAAACGTCGCGGGGGCGTTCTCGAGTCCGAATGGCATTCTCAGAAATTCATAATGTCCATTTTCGGTGTTAAAAGCTGTTTTTTCTATATCGTTTTCATGCTTTTGGATTTGATGGAAACCACTCGCTAAGTCTAAGGTCGTGAAATACTTACATCCCCCTAGTTTGTCCAGTAAGTCAGTGATGTTTGGCAGAGGGTAGCGATCATCTAGGGTTTTCGCATTGAGCACTCTAAAATCTATAACAACCCTCCAGCGTTTTTCTCCCCCGAAGCTTCTAATTTCTTTGGGACCACCCAGATAGCTGAACTCCATGTAGATGTGCTCGGCCTGATTATTTTCCTATAGAAAATCTAAAGTTACAGGCTCGGTAGAGTTAGGTATTTAAAATCTTTTGTTTTCGACAAGCATTTTAGGATTTCGCAATTATGAATTTTTTGATTAGGTATAACAATTTCATCATTTTTCATGGAAGTTTTGATTCTAATTACTTGTTCGACACGAGGTGGAATTGTAATACAATTCAATTCGTATTGGGTTTCTTGAAATTGTAATTTTATCCGAGTATGTGGTGTAATGAGAAAACTTTTGTCGTAATCTAAACTTGCTTGTGAAAGTTTCAAATTATCGAGTCCTATATTAGACCGTCGAATATATTATAAAATTTGAGGTCTTTATTGTTTGGTAAATTAAATATTTTTGATGAAGGAATTAAAGTACTGATGGGCAGATTTTTGAAATACTGTCGAAACAATGAAATATTTGGGTATAATTTCTTGGATGTTTTGAGATCTATGAATGACTTAGTGGAACCTGAATCAATTAAAAAGTTTCCAAGAAGATAATATAGGAAATTTTGCTAGAGTTTGTCATATTAAAAGACACTATTTCGGTGTTTTGACCTACGGATCTTTGTTGGTTG